TAGAGTGAATTCCTAGTGAGGGAACTTCCTCTGCCAATGTAGAGCTCCATCTGCTCTGCAATTTACAGACACAGAGAATTGCCCGGGGGCATTAAGAGGTTGGGGCAGCTAGGTGGCACAGTGGAGGGAGCACTAGGTCTGGAGTCAGGAAGACTCATCTCCCTGAGTTCAACTCTGGCCTCAGACATTTACTAGCTGTGTGACCCTGGGCAAGTCATTTGACCCTGTTTGCCTCAATTTCGTCATCTGTAACATGAGCTAGAGAAGGAAATGGTAAACTACTCCAGTATTCTTGCCAAGAAAATGTCAAATGGGTCACAAAAAATTGGATACAACTGAACAACAATAAATTTTTATGCCAATTAAAGAATTGGAGAATTTAAGTTTTATTGGTTGATCATTTTAATCTGTTCCTATGATTTGCTAGATGAATATTCACATCCTCCCTCTGCTCCTTGTTTGACCTTGAATAAGACACTTAACCTGCCTGAGGCTCAGTTTCCTCATCTGTAAAATGACCAGATGGTCTCAGGTGACCCTTCCAGCTCCAGATCTGTGAACCTATAACATTAGATAACACTGCTAAATTTTGAAAGCTATACCCCTAAGCAAAGGTAAGTAATACAAGTGGAAGCATGATTATTTATCAAATATTTTAAACGAGGATGATGATGATAATGATGATTTTTTTAAACTTATGATTTAGGTCTCAGGCTTAATTAAATCTGAATGAGATAACAATAATTTCTCTAGACCAAATTCTGATTCCTGTGGAAAACCTCAACCATGCTTACCTAATCTTCATGACCTTCCCAAGCTTAGTCTAGTATCCTACTATATTTCAGGGCCTGAGGACCTACATTTCTTCACCTTGATTTTTTCTGTTCTTCCCCTCTGGCCTCATATTTTGACAATGATCAGAATAATTACTAAGGCAAGCCTTTCTTTGTTCATCCTTCCAACCAGCATCCAAGCCCGATGTCCTAGCTTGTAAGGCCAAGCACTCCCTTGCTGCTCTGGTCTTTATGGCAGGAGTTCTATCTGGGGGCAGCCATTGGGAAAATCAATTTATTTTTGGGTTGACTTCTTCACTCTTGCTTTATCTATACCGTACTTGTGCATAAGTTGTTTGGAGTTTCTGCTATGAGCATTTAGTAGGGACTCTTAGTATGCAGCCAGTAAATACTCATTGTAGTTTAGTTGTGTTTGACTTTTTGTGACCCCATTTGAGGTTTTCTTGGCAAAGATACTGGAGTGGTTTGCCATTTCCTTCTCTAGCTCATTTTCTGCTTTGCCATTTCCTTCTCCAGCTCATGTTACGGATGAGGAAACTGAGGCAAACATGGTGGAGTGACTTTCCCAGGTTCACACAGCTAGTAAGTATGTGAGGTCAGATTTGAACTCAGGAGGATAAGTCTTCCTGACTCCAGGTCCAGCACCCTGTCTACTAAGCCACCTACCTGCCCTAGAGACACCTTTTCAAGGACTGATTAAAATGCCACTGCTCTTTTGAAGAGAAAGATTCAGGAGGTCAGACTGTACCAAGTGCAACCTTAGGAAAACCCTTAGTCAGGCCCTGTGGCCCCATTGTGATTATTCTGCAGATTATGCGAGCCCTGAGTGGTTCCTGAAGCCCCGGCAGTACCTTGGCACTGGCATAGTAGCAGGTCAGAATGCAACAAGAGTTCTAAGCTGGAATTTCCTTTCTTTTGTTGCTTCAGATTAATTGAATTTTCATTCACAGTTCTCGCTGAAATGAAATGTAGTGTATCTTATACAGACTATGAATCTTGGCAACTCTAAACAAGACTGATGGGGTAATCTGAACAGGAAATCTTTGGGCCTCACAAGCCTCCCCAGATCGCTATGATGGAATGTGGTCCCTCTTGAGTTTATCATGGAATCAGTGAGACCAACCACAAGGAAAGAAAAGAAACAAAACCCCCTGATATCCCTGGGTACAAACACCATTTTAAGCTAATGAGGCATTGCATTTAAGATTAAGGAACTGGGATTGGGAAGCAGACACATAAAACACAACACTGGGGCAAGTGTCTTGATGCAGGGCTATGGACAGGGCTGAAGAATGCTACCCTGAGCTTAGCTGGAAAGAAGTGCTAGCCCCAGTCACAGGAGTCACTCTGCCCAGAGAAATCCACAAAGACTTCCTTCTCTCTAGAGTCAACCCTCTCTCTGCCTCGGGCTCTGTGGAGCTAATGTCAAGCTTTCCTAATGACTTCAAGTTTCACATACTCCTTTCCTGTCTGGCACCATTCTCTTGGTAGGCTTTCAAAAGTGTCCTTCTGACACAAACTTATACATGGAGGGAAGGATGGCATCTGCTTATAATTAAGGACAGATACTGGAGCTCGGGCTTCACATTTAGCATTTCAGCAGATCATGAAAGGCTCTAAGTTAAAGATGCAATTGCATTCATAAAATGTGAGAGTGTGTGTGTGTGTGTGTGTGTGTATAAAGAGGCCTACGAGGAGCGCTTGAACTCATCTCCTAGTTCTGCCCCATTAGAGGGATAATCTTAGACAAATCAGTTTTCTCTAAAATGGGAGCAATAATAATATTTGCTCTTTCTATTTCAGAAAGTGTTTGTGAAGTTTAAGTGAAATGTGTTGTTAAGTTTTTTCAAATTGCAAAGTGCTATATAAACATCAGGTGTTATTTTTATAACTGGGTTCTGATTGGCGACTAGTCAACAGTCCTCCCACAGGTATTTTTTACCAGTGACTTTTGTTGTATGCCTGTCCATCAAGAAGGCTGGCTTCCTTAGCGGCAAATAGCTGGGGGTGGAGTTGTCAATGCTGGGCCACTTGTAGGAAGCAGGTTGTGCATGTGGAGGGGTGGGTTGAGGTGGTGCACAGTGGCTGGGCCTTAGTGATGTCTGTAGGGGTAGGTCTCAGAGCTGAGCTATGGTTCTGTACTGGGTGCACATGACTATCGAAGTCAGGAGAATGGATGAGAAATTGTACTGAGGCAGGTATGGTCCTGAGGGTCAGCCAGGCTTCAGAACCCAGAGGAGTCAAGAACTGTGGTAGCACTAATATTCTAACCCCTCCCCACATGCAAGTTAAGCTAGTTTTTCCTAAAAGGGTATTGAGACCTTCCTTGAGACTTGGTCGGTTACTTGGGTGGACTACTGCCATCACTTCCTCATGTTCACTTAGCTAAATCAGCTTGAGGTGTCCCTAATGTTTATCCGTGTTTAATAACTTTCTGCTATGGTTAAGTAAACCTCTTTGTATTAACTTTTGAATGACCTAAGAGTGTCTTATTTTGTTTCAATATTGGGCATAAATCTCCAGGGTACTGCCCTGAATCTGTTCTATCCCAGAACAAGAATCAAAAAGTCTCTAGGAATGAGCCAAGTAGAGACTCAACATCTGACCGTTTTTGCTTTTCCAGGTATATTTGCCTTTATCATCTCACTACCTTCGAAGGAATTGATTCCTGGGAAGGACTGTCCTGGAAGCCTTCAGACAAGACTGGCAGAAAAGGAGGGGGACGGCTAGAGGGCAGATAAAGTGATCCTTACTAGAGGGCATTTTTGATGAAGAGGAAGTATTTCTTGCAAATGAATGGTGATGGCTTTTAGAAGAGTTAAAGCAACAACAGCAATATCAAAGCACTACATATTATAATGGGTATTTTTAGATCTGATTTGCCATGCCTTTTTTTTTAGGTCGACAAGGTTGGTTTTACCATTCTAGCTGAGTTTGCAGGGGTTAGAAGACACATATGGTTGGCTGCAGTGACATATTTGAGTTTGAAGTCACGTCACTACTTTGGAAAAGGTCACAGTTCACCTGGCTCTATGTAATGCTCTTTGAGAAAAGTAGTAGTGCTTGCCACATAGTAGGCACTTAATAAATGCTTGTTGACCGGCAGGAAGGAAAGCAGTGATAAGAGAAATAGCAATATCCACATTTTTATTTTTTTATATCAAACATCAGCATATTTCCATTTCCTTTCAGGAAATTAATTAGAGTTTAGGGTGGGAGAGTAGCAGAATTAATGGGTATGAAAGGAAAAGCAAGTAGAAGTGATTACATTATTCCTCCTCCTTTCTAGCTTTGGGAGAATAAATAATAAATTTGTCCCTCTGAAAGGGAAAGAATAGGTTCAAAAGTTAAATTTAAAAAAATCTATTAATACCAGGACCCAGAGATAATTATCTCTATTCCCATTGTGAAGGATCAAGCTGGACCCATACATACCTTGGTGGATGGGGACTGACAAATTCTCTAAGGACCAAATCACTTGGCCAATTTATGTGACTCCTTGAATTTCTGAGAATTTAGACATCTATGTTTCTACAACACTAGCTAGAGGAGAAATGAGGCCTAGGAGTCAGGAGATCTGAGTTCTAGTCCTGGTTCTATCAACTTCATGACTTAAGGCAAGTCAAATCACTTCCTTAGGCCTCTTTTCCCTCCTCTGTAATATAAGAGGATGGGACTAAGTGAATTCTAAGGCTCCTTCTGGCTCTAGAGCTTTGATCCTATAAGTTATGGATGAATGCCTATCAGCAATGGTGAGGAGGATTTCCACATTGGGAGTTCCTCTATGATGATGAATTACAGGCCCAGGTTTGCCTTCTCCATCAACCCAACCAAAAAAATTTATAATTCATTTATAAACTCCTCTTACTTTCTTCCTTCCTTCTCCCCTCTTTTCTTTGTTCTTGCCTCCTTCCTTTCTTTCCTTCGTCATTCCTTTCCTTTCTTCCCTCTCTTTCGCATCCTTTATCATTTTCTTTCTTCATCCTTACCTCCTTTTGTTCCCCCACAACAATGATTATGTTTACTAAATGACATCAAACACAAAACGGACAGAATGCCATACTACATATAGAGCACACCCCAGCGTGACTAAACACTTGTGAACACATCCAGTCTTCCTTGTGTGACCATACACAATCTGGAACTTCAGATATGGTTCGAATCCCAGCTAACTAGCAGTTCTTCATTATTCTCTATGCTTCTTACCTTCCTCTTCATTGGATGAAGTAGAACTACATCTTTCAGTCAGATCAATTCTGCTGCTGAATGTAGATTCACCTTCACTGAGAGGCGATGGAATCACAATGAACAGACGTGATTGATCTGATGCTGGATCAGTGACAGAATTCCAGCTCTGAGGTGGATTTTGAAAAGCACATAGCCAGCCTCCCTAGCGAAAATGAGAGGCCGCAGAATGTTGGACCCTCTATAGACAAAGTAAAGTAACAAAGTGTTTTCCCACATCATGGGTTTTAGATATTTTCATCAAGTGAGGGAAGGGAGAACTTACCCTTTTCCACCTCCAGACAATTTCTTAGTACTATGCAGTAATTACACATTTCTTACTGTCTTAGTGAAAAGTGAGCAGTATATGCATGTGTGTGTATCCACAAACACCCCCCCCCCATATACTCTATATCTAACCTGGGGCCTCTTCAAATACCTCTGAGAAGACTAAGACATTAAGAAATTTAAGGTGGAACTATAGCACAAATGAGGCAAAAGGCAGGGTGTCAGTAATCTAGCACAACCTGTTTTAATTTTTAAAAGATCTTTTTGCTCAGAAGAGAAAAATTCTATTTCAAAACTATCAAAATGTACAGTTTCCTAGAACCCTTTTACATATGTGTACTTCTGGAATGCTTTTATGTATGATGCAACGGATAGAGTGCTGGTCCTGAAGTCAGGAGGACCTGAGTTCAAATTTGACCTTGGATGCTTACTAGCTCTGTGACCCTGCACACGTCACTTAATCCTTTTTCCTCAATTTCCTCATCTGTAAAATGAGCTGGAAAACGAAATGGAAAACCACACCAGCATCTTTGCCAAGAACACCCAAAAAGGGGTCACAAAGATTCGGACACCACTGAAAACGACTTAACAACAACTTCTGAAATGCCTTTACATATGTGGACTTCTGAAATGCTGTCCTGTGAGAACAGAAGGGCCTGTAGATATGTAAAATAGCTTATGCCTGGGTCCTATCGGAGTCATTGTGCTGATCGATTGGGTTTGAAAACAAACATCACAGACAACAAAAAACAAGTATGAGAAGGCTGGTTCCCGGCTATAAACAGGGGATGCTAATATTAACATTCATGCTGGCAGAAACAAAGTGTGAGGCTATAGTATTTCTTCGCCTTCACCAAGCATCCCTGGCAGAGTAGGCATTATACAAAACATTTTAATACCTGCTGAGTTTGTTTTGAGGGAGAACAAAGATTGAAAGCACTTGGCCCTGGGACTGGTCTGGCAATGGGATTCAAAATGTAGTCAGCAGGAAAACAGTTTCTGTTGAGCCTACATATGTTTCACATTATAAATATATACATCCGTCTTATACATTCTCTGTGCAAGCACCTTTTCAGCAGAGACATTTTTAGTTTCTTCCTTTATGCCCCATGGGATTTTAGTAGCCACATTTCCAAAGGGTACACAACAGTTATTCTTGGTAATTGGCTTTCCAGGGAGAAAGCATTATTGTTTCCCTCCTGTTCTTTCTTGATGGGAGAGATGTAAGGAGCCTCAGAGCCATACTCATACTGTAGCATCCTTCATCTAGTTTGGGGCTAGTTTTCATTAGTAGCCATTGTGTCTTGCAGCCTGACCACCTCAAAATTGGTTCCTCAACATCTTCTAGACATGCAAAGATAGATACAGACTAGCAGAGTTTTCCTTTGCTCCTCCTACAGGGATCTTAGGGCCATGGAATAAGAGCTGGAAGGGATTTGGATTTTACTGTTCAGATAATCCAATCCCTCATTTTTTAGATGAGAAAAGTGAACCAAAGAAATCAGAGAGTTTACATGACTCTGGGTTGGGATTCAAACTCCAGTCTAATGATGCTGAATTCAATGATCCAAGGTGAGAGTTTTTTCTACCGAACCACGGAACCTCTACTTCATTCTCCCAGGAGTACAAAGATGCAACATGCCTATCTTGTGATAGTGTCTGAGGCATTGGACCACAGGAAAATACATAAACTCAGACACAGAGTCAATCGAAAGTATCTCAGGTACTCATGGTAGAGTTCCTTGGAGCCCTAAATCCTGCATAACCATTCTAGTGGTGGGATCACAAAGTGTAAATGTAAGCTTTGGTTAACAAGGAAAGTCCATGTATATATACACATGTATATGTGTTTCTATACATATACGTATGTGTGTATGCATATATACAGGAGAGATCACAGACACATAACAAAAACCACATTTATGTTGGAAGTAGGGACAGCAAAGAGGATGCCAAGTTCTTTGAGGGGAGCAGATAAAGAATAGGACAGCATGCATGCATTGAAAGCCACATCTATTCCCAGACATGTAGGGAGTAGAAGCAGCTGTCAAAGATGCTGGGCCTGAGAGAGTATGGTCACAACAGGCACGCTATAGAAGAAAAGTAACAGTTGTGCCCAGGCAGCTGGGGCATGCCCTCTCTCTTTTAAAGCAGGTAGCTTAACCTATAACAGCAAATCCAAAAACCCAAAACAAATGCCATTTGTGCATTCCTTGATAAAGGATTGCTGCTTCCTCAGTCTCCAGGCAGGACCTGTTGCATCCAGAAGTCACTCACCGATGACATTTGAGCCATCATTCCTTAGACTGTATGCCTCTCATTATGCTTATCTGTCACTCTCTGTAGTGATTGCTGCGACTAGACACTGGATTCAATAAAAGGAAAGATTGTCAGGGGAGGGAATGGGCTGGGGAGGGTGGGAACAACAGATAACATCAGCAGCAACAATGACCCAGCAATCTGAAGGACAGGAGGATCTCAGGATTCACAGGGTCCTGGCATCATTGATTTAGAGCCGAGAGGCCTTTGAGTCCAATCTGCTCATTTAAAGATGAGGAAACTGAGGGGAAAAGAGGGTAAGGGATTAGCTCAGGATCACATAATCAGCAGTATAAAGCTTCACAAAGACCCCCAAAGGAGAAATACCCTGATGCCTGGATCTTGTACCTTCAGTAGGAACTAAGGCTGTCCCTTGCCTACGAAATGAGACCTTAAGGAAGCGAACAGCGTCTGGGTGAATTTCACTGGGTGCACTGTTTTTGGTGCTTCATCATTCCAAGTTATCGTAGCAGGGAAGCGACATGCTTTTGTCTACGGAAGCTTGCTCAAGGCCAGTCATCCTGGTGAGAATTTTGCTTATTGTTGTGTAAGAATCCCACTCGAGCTCATCCTTTGAGTGTGTGTGTGACTTCATGGGGTTCCACCTCACCAAGTCTGGGTCTTTTTCTGGGATGATGTGGCACAGTGGAAAGAGAGAGGACTGGTTCTGGAGTCAAGGGACCTGGGTTCAGATTCTGTCTCTGATGTTTACTTTCTTTCTTTTTTTAATTTTTTTAAGGCAACTGGGGTTAAGTGACTTGTCCAAGGTCACACACCTAGTAAGTGTCAAGTGTTTGGTCTGAGGCTGGATTTGAACTCAGGTCCTTCTGACTTCAGGGCTGGTGCTCTATCCACTGCACCACCTAGCTACCCGTCTGATGTTTACTTTCTTTGTGACTTTTCTCCTCCTCGGTTTCTTCATCTATAAAATAGAAGAATTGAGGTCCTTTACAGCTCTCGGTCTACGACTATATGATCCTCTTTCCTGGAAGAGTTGGGCTAAAGGATGGTATGGATCCAGTTGTACCTAGAGTAAGGCTGCTTCTAAGTTATCTTTCTCTTGTACCCTTGTTTCTTTGAAGAATCTCAATGTGATTGTTGGAGTCATTTATAGTCAATAGGTGAGCCTGACATGGGCTAAGCAAATATGCATTTTGCTGGTGCTCTTTAGACCTAGAGCAGTAGTGCCAAACTCAAATAGAAATGGGGACACTAAACCATACCTAAGGATTTCTGTGGATGGCATATTGACTTTGTTGTTGTTCGGTCGTGTGTGATTCTTTGTGACCCCATTTAGTGTTTTCTTGGCAAAGATACTGGAGTGGTTTGCCATTTCCTTCTCTAGCTCCTGTTACAGATGAGGAAACTGAGGCCAACAGTGTTAAGTGACTTGCCCCAGGGTCACCCAGCCAATAAGTATCTGAGGTCACATTTGAACTCAGGCCTTCCTGACTCCAAGTTCAGCCCTCTATCCACTGAGCCCCTTAGCTGCTCCACATATTAACATGTTCTAATGTTCTATTGTATTTTTATTTATTTTGTTAACTGTTTTTCAATTACATTTTAATCTGATTCAGGCCATGCTCAGAGGTTGATAGCACCCTAGCCCATGGCCCTGTTTGACACTTCTACCTGACAGCATATCAATGCTATGCAATTGTTAGTTGCAACAACCCCAACAACACCGTTCATCCAATCTCTCTTCTTTCAAATCCTATCTAGCACTGCTGGATTGTGATTTGTCCTTCGTTCTCAAAGAGGACCATAACATCAGGAAGATGACGTGACTTGCAACTGAATTGGATTTGAGTGAGGGAGGGCTGTGCAAAGTCACCAGCCTCACTTTCTCGTCCTGAGCCATCTGGGTCCAGTGGCCAGACAGCGATCAGGACGACTGGAGATGGCTCTAGATGCAGTGGGAGACCTTGGCGTTTTTAAGCTAAGGTCTGTTCAAGTTCTCACTTTGAGTGAGGCACTACCCATTCAGTGAATAGGCCTGTTTGAGAAGTGAGTCAAAGGATGGCCCCTTATTAATAATAATAAAAAACATCAGACTGGGAGGGGAAGATCAGCACTGCCAGATTAATCTTCCTAAAATATCTTTCATCATGCCATGTCCCTACACAAGAACCAACCTCTGGTGCTCTTCCACTGTCTACTGCATCAATTCCAAACCCCTCAGGCTTCAAAACACCTCCATAAGCTGACTGTACCTACCTATTTCTCTCTTTTTAAAAGATCTGTTATCTTCCATCCTTTACACAAGCCTTCTTTCCTGCCTCCTTTTTCTTTTTTTTTTTTTGCTTATGCCATTCCCTTCCCTTGGAATTCTCATCAAGCCAAATATTACTTATGCTTCAAACCATCCCAAGTTTATCCTCCCTTATGGAGCTTTTCCAGCTCACATGATCTATTTTTTGAACTCACAACAATTCTTGTCTGTAGCTGGATTCCTATCCTACAACTGATCCTTTCTATCTGTGTGACCTTGGGCAAGTCCTTTAAGTCTTTGAGCCTCAGATTTCTCATCTGCAGGATGAGGGGGTTGGACCAGACAGCCTCTGTGATCCCTTCTAAGTCTAGATTGATAATCCTTCACCTCACAATCAATCACATATTACTTTGTGACATTTATTGAGCTGCTGTCTTATATTTCCATAGACTTTCTGTGTTGTTTAATATTCCATGTATTTAGGTCTAGCTTCCTAATGAGACTGGATGCTTCTGGAGTGCTGAGGCTGTGTCATAGCCTTTAAATCATCCAGAATGATTAGCTTAGTACTTCAGACATAGAAGGTACTCAATAAATAGGATTGCTTATATATTCTGACAGCCTTTCCTTCTTATCCAAAAAGTGGATTATTAAGTAAACTGATGTCTTTAATGAATGCCATGCATAGAACATAAACTTACCATGAAAGCATGTAATAGAGGAATGAAGAACAAACAACTGAGACATGGCTTCATTAGAATTCTTTATTCAAAGTTGCAACTGATTTTCATTCAATCTAACTGCAAAGGAATTATTGAAAATCTGCATTTTATCTAGTGTGAGGATGGCTCCAAAGAACATTTCATGTTGTAAAAAGGTAAAAAATCAATGACAATTCCCCAAAACAGGTAGTGCTATACAGGGGAAGCTCATTTGATATTTACATGATAGATACTATAGATACAGTATAGATAGACAGATAGATAGATAGATAGATAGACAGACAGATGGATGGATAGATAGTCACTAATGAAGTTGGAATCTGGTTAAAAGACATTCAATCATTATCAAAAGCATGTATTCTCCGAATGGCATTTTCTCAAGTACCTTGCTTTATTCAGAGATAGCCTCTCTGGGAAGGTGATCACATACACAGAATCTGAATTCTAGCTTAAGTTGTCTCTCTTAGCTAGGAGAAGGAATGAACATTCAGATTTAGAACTGAAATCCTTTCGAGAAGAGGCAATCAAATCACACAATATCAATTCAAGTGGAAAATTACAGAATAGAATGAGTCCTGTTTCTGATGTCATTCTAGATGGAGAGGCTTAGTCACACAGATGTATATATAAGTGTGTAATATATATATATATATATATACATATATGCATTTACATGAATATATATGTATCTACCTATGCACATACATGTTATTTGAGGGCTCTTAAAAAAGAGGCAGCTGGATTAATGACCTTTGAAGTCCTATGTTATCCCAATATTCTAGGAACCTATTAGTAGAAGCTATAAGACATAGCATAGCTTTGCTTTCTGGTTTGAGTTATGCTTAATTTAATCACTATATGAAGTAAGTAAAAAAAAAAAGAAACAAAAGCCTTATTGATGATCTATATACAGCCGTTAACTTCTTTGATAGACGCCTTGCACAGTGTGTCATTGTGCCAGCTTAAAGGGGAATCCTGCCCATAGGCTTTCTGGCAGAATAGGGATACTGTAT